CTGTATATACAATTGTTGTTAGAGAAAAGCCTTTAATTAAATAAAGTTTCTACCATTGGCAATATAAAAAAAAAAAAAAAAAAATTTAGCTAAATCCTTCTGGACTATCAAGTTGCAATTTATTGATTAATATGAATATGAAAGACCTTGTCGTTTGTGCTATGCTTTATAACTAGCTTTGTTGTGATCTGTATTTTGACACTGCTAGCATTGAGTTTGTTTTCTTGTTTTTTGAATTTTTGATTTTTGCTTAGCATTAGATTTGCTTTTGCTTTCAATTTCATGTAACTTTTTAATTCGCTTTTTTTTCGGAGCACCTTTTTTAGAATGGACTTTTGGATTTTCAACTGCAATAAAATCACTATTAGAACTACAACTTGAACTAGCTTCATCCTTATTCTTATCTTCATCTTCATCTTCATCCTTATTCTCACCCTCACCCTCATCCTCATCCTGTTGTCTTACATTCTTTTTACAAATTAGTTTTTCTTTTTTTTTGGGTACATGTTTGGTAATAAACTTATTCATAAAATCTTCAAGCTCTTTTATTGCACCAGAACTAGTATCTATCCTGGTTTGTATAGCTTTTTTTGACAATCCATTGATCATCATATAAGATTTACGATAATTAATTTTGGTATAGATATCATTAAATGAAATATTTGGCAAACAAAAAGTTAAATCAGGAAAGGATTGTTCAACATGTTCTGCATTAGTATTATCGCCCAATCCAATGATAAAAGATTGCTGCTGTGTTTCTAATTCCAGTTCAATTTGTTTTGCATCGTTAAACCATCGTTTTGAGATAAGCATAATATAAAAAGAGGCATATTTAGACACTATCATAACTTGAAAAAAGTGTCTACAGACAAAACCACGTTGAGTTAAACCCAAACATGTACATAAATAAGAATTATTTTTAAATAGTATTATATAATTTTTAGCATTATGTCTATGTCGTGAAACTTCTCAAATTTCAATGATAGATGTGACTTCTGCAGATGAAATTAATTCTTTAATTAAAATTGCAGATGCATTAGCAATATCTTTGGCAAAGAAATTATAAATATTAATTGTATCAGGTTTAATCAAATTCAAATACTCAGAAAATTGTTGTTTGGCTGAATCAAACTGTAATTCCAAGTCTTGAAAATTATTAATTAGTTTTGATGTATATCACACTGCTTGAGAAATTTCCTGTCACTGCATAGATAAAGAAGTTGGTGTCAAGTAAGTAGAAATCCATTTGTCAATATTAGGTAAAAATTCTGAACTAGCATGAATAAGTGTAGATTCTATAATGGAATGTGTCCAATTTTTGTATTGAATTAAAGTGGATGCACGGTCAATTTGTTCATCAATATATTTTGCGAGATTGATTAAAGATATGCTACTGTTAACTGAACTCTTTATAATAGAATTTTGATCCTCAACTCGCTAAGTTGACTACATCCCAGCAGTAAAAATTTTTGAGGTATAACAAAGTGCCTATCTTTTCTTTTCATTAAAAAGAGCACATTTAAGATATAAACTAGCTTCAAGAAATTTTATTATAAGCTTGTCCCATAAATGATTAAATTGTTGGATTGAAAGCGAATTATGCATGTAGTACCAATCTTGTGAAAATTCATTGTATTGTTCTCCTAACTTGCTTTTCAAGTTTTTTATTAAGTTTTGCCCAATGTGAAATATACAATATATACGATATGTATTGGGTAAGACATTAGCAATTGCGGCAGTAACAGCAAGATCATTATCAGTTATTATTGTCAAAGGTTCTGCTTTTGTATTTATAATTAGAGTTTGTAAAACCCATTTAAAACTTTCAACAGTTTCATCATTAATAAGAGCCTGTCCCACCAACCTAGACCGATTGTTATTGTCTACAATTACAAAAAAGCTTAAAGCCATTTTAAACCGATTTGTTGAATATGTATTGTCATGTTAAATAATATCTCGGTATTGCAAATATAAAGCATGCTAATCAGGTGATATCCAAAACAAAGAGGTAAGAAAATTATTTGCAGAGTCAACTTTCCAATTAATAAACTATCTCATGTCATTAGCTTTATGCTCAAGAAGGTGGTTGAGTAAAATAGCAGCCTCACATTCAGCGTAATTCTGTTTTTTAAAGAACCGAATAGTATTTGAAAGATCTTAAGGCAAAAAAAAGTCATTGGGATATTGTTTTGTTAACATCCGATATTGAGTTCTCATATTGAGGTTACCAATTTCTGTCCAAAATCTAATATCTTTTAACATTTCTTCAGAAAATGCTCAATGTTTAGAAGCAAACTTATTTGTTTTATCTTTTAATGGATGATCATTATAATTCAAACAAAGAGAGCTTATATTTAATATATCAGTTGTCTTAGGACAAGTTGCACGAACTTGCCAACGGCACCCAGTGTATTTACTTTGTGTTTGTCATTGGTTCTTTACAATACTTGTCTTATTCTTTATACCACTATAACCTTGATGTTTACAAGCATATCGGTGGCTTTGACAAACTCCATTATTATATTCTGAGCTACGTATTACACTAACAAAATTTAGAGATTTTGCATATAAAGATATAAACCGATCTATTTCATCCCAATTAGAAAATGTTTGTCCTACTACTGGAGTATCTACTATTTTACCAGAATTTTGGTTACTAATTATTGTTATTCTGGTTAGTTAAAGAAATAAATGAATACCAAAGTCAAACACAATACAAAAATAGCTACTTACTGTACTTCAACGTCTAAAGGTTGCTCTTCAAGAATTTTAAAATTATTTTTGTTTATATATAAAGATATAAATCAATCTATTTCATCCAAACTTGCTATTTCAACAGAATTTTGGTTACTAATTATTGTAGTTCTGGTTAGTTAAAAAAATGAATAAATACCTAAGTCGAAAGCAATACAAAAAAAAAATTACTACTTACTGTACTTCAATGTCTATAGATTGCTCTTCAGGAACTTCAAAATTATCTTTGTTTGTATACAAAGATAAAAATTGATCTATTTCATCCAAACTAGTAAATAATCGTTCTACTACTGGAACATCTGCTATTTCAACAGAGTTTTGATTACTAATTAATGTAGTTCTGGTTAGTTGAGGAATTAATATAATCTTCAAGTCAAAAGCATTACAAAAAAAAAAAATTCGCTACTTACTGTACTTCAAAGTCTAAAGGCTGCTTTTCAAAAAATTCAAAGTTGTCTTCACTTTCTATCTTTAAAATAATAACTCTAATAGGACAACCTTTTAGGTAAACTAGTATGGATTAAAAAAAAAAATTTAGTATTATAGGGTTAAAAGTACAATATCTTTGCTCAAGCTATAAGCAACCTTCCGTAGAATTTGTTATGCACTCTTAAGACTGGTATATGTTGTTGGTTTGTATTCTTTTCTTAATACTTTCGAATTTGTCAAATACTTGCAAGAAAAAGAGATTGTTATTCGCTTTTAATTAATGACATCACATCGCTATTGTTTATTGTATATTAATATCTACTGCACGATTTAATCTCCGATGCGTATGATCATTTGTACTACAAAAATAATGGGTACATAAAATTTTAATATACCCTAGCAGGTACAAAAAATTTTAATATACCCTAGGATACATATATATTAACACTACTCAAAAAAGTAAATATAAAAATAATTTTAAATATAGGATTTATATTCTTTAGCATTTAATGATTCTTTAACAAAAATTATAAAACTAAACACCAAGTAGTTTTAAAAAGATCTTAAGCTAAAGTTGTTCAATTCTTCTCTATATTCTTTAAGTCAAATGATTGATTTACTTAATACAATAATATAATTGGCTAAAGCAATCCTTTGAAAATTAAAGAAGGTTTTACTAAGTAAAGGTCTCTT